GCCTCCAGCTTGAACCAGCTCTGTTCTCTGGAGCCCAGCGCTGGCAAAAACGTACTAACCGTTTGTGCGATCAGCCTGGGAAGAGGGGGGATCCGTCTGGCATCAGCGAACCCCGGCACAATGAGGACAAGGCGGTCATTAATCCTCGTAAGACTTACGGTCACGGGCAGGCGGCGCGGAAAGCGAACCGGCTCCGTGTGACGGGAATCGGCCTCTCCTTCAGAGAATGTCGGGCGTGCGGCTGCTTGCGACCGACCTCGCTGGTGGTGATGCCCGCCCGTCCGCCCGCCCGCCCTCATGCTCTACTTGTACACTTACTCTGGCTCAGAATAGACTCGCCTCGTCCCGACTCTATTCTGGAACAGCAGCTTGGTGCCTAGAGGGCTGTGGCCCCTCAAGAACACGAGCGTCCTACATACGTCAAGTCCGGGTATCTAGAACAAGCGGGGACGCCATCAAAAATGCATGAAAGTTTTTGTCGTCTCACTGAGAAGGAGACCAGCAGATCACCTGGCATGCCCCACACGGCTAACCACACCCTCCTCAGTTCTTCATGTAACCACTTTATAATGTCTCTTTATGCTCCGCCTTCACACCGAGTCACATGACCAAACAACCGCAACCGACCAATGACAATGTCATAGAGAGGGCCTCAGAGACGACATGGACCGTCCTCGTGAATGCCTGACTCTCCGTCACGCCCGGTTCACCCCACGGCTTCCTCGGCAACTGCAGCTCACGTCCAGGCTGGAGCGGCGACCTTCATCCAGCGCTAACGAAGTGACCCAGGGCAGGCGGGTGGCGGGGAGGGGGGGGAAGGGCGACACGGGGCCAGACCGTCAGGATCCAGGTGCGTCCGCTTGGCAGGGATGCTCTGGGGCTTCCTGCAGTGTGTTCACAGTTAAAGATTAACCAGCAAAGCTGAGTCCACGCAGGCTTTCACTGACAGACAGGCTGTGCTAAAGGCTCCCTGGAGGCCTAAACAGAGCCAGTAGCCTGTCCTCCGGGGGCTGAGAAGCCCACCTGACGGGCAAAAAAACAGGCAGCAGATATCACTGCACCGCTAATATTTTTCAGCAGACATGCCTGAGGATGAAGACTATAGAAAAATGCAAAAACTGAAGCAGAATGACCAGCAGTCTCAGTCCTTGTTTGCGAACCGGTGGAGTCCATTTAAATTTAACATTAAATCACATCTTTCAAATTTCAGACCAAGTTTAGACCAACTGAAACCATTTCGGCCACCGTGTCTCTGTTAGGAAATTACCCATTTTGTTCAAGCTACACACTTAACAGGAGCTGAACCCCCCCCCACCCCCACCATTTACACATCTGACTTTACCTGTCGGCCAATTATGAAGCCCTTGGAATTCCTGGTTCAGTGGAGTTGGTGGAGTATAACACAAGATGTAGATCAGCTTGAGGACTCAGAGGACTGGGTTGAGAATCGCTCATGAACCCGGGAGATCTCAGAAGGTCAGTCAGCAGGCGGCGTGCTGGACACCAAAGCGGGGGCCACCAACGCGGGGGCCACCACGAGCGGCTGCGGCAGGAGCCACCAGCTTTCTGGGAAACGGCGGCCTTGGGGAGGGGCCAGCTGAGTTATGTATCCAAGGCAGACCAGCAGGGAGTAAACTGAAAACCAGCAAGGTCAAACCAGTACTACCCAGTGAAGTCAGCTACCAGCTCAAATCAGTACTACTCAGTGAAGTCAGCTACCAGCTCAAACCAGTACTACCCAGTGAAGTCAGCTACCAGCTCAAACCAGTACTACCCAGTGAAGTCAGCTACCAGCTCAAACCAGTACTACTCAGTGAAGTCAGCTACCAGCTCAAACCAGTACTACTCAGTGGAGTAAGAGTGTTTCTCAAACTGGTCCTTGGGGATCCCCAGACGGACCACCTTTTTGCTCCCCCCAGTCCCAGCTTTCTGCCATAGAAAGTCTGAACATCCATCCAGTCTCCAACCACTACAACCAGTACAGAGTCGCACACAGAACATGGCAACACAAACCAGAAAATTAAACATTTACAATATGGAGGAAGTTGTACAAAAAATAAACAAAAATGAGTAAGTACATCTCACTGAGATGGATATGTTTAAATAAATAAAAATACACCAGATTATATGAAATATGGATTAGTCCATGTATTAAACAAGAGAGCGGGGAAGCCACAAGTGATATCCCACACTGACAACTCAAACCTGGCATGAAACACTACTCAGAAGCTCCGGGGGGGTGGTGGGGGGGGGATTTCAGCAAGAGGAACGCTGCAATAAACAGCATGACATCATCACACCTCTGACCAAACAAAATATCTGGTTGCCTAAAATAGCCTGAAGCGGCATTGTCTGAGGAAGCCGAGCTCGCTGGTAGAAGGTCCGGGCAGAGGAGCACGGTGAGTGATCTCCAGCTCTCCAGCTGTCCGGCCAGTCCTGCTCACACACTCGCAGCGCCTCCCAGCCATCCTGCGTGTCACTGCGCAGGCTCGCTCTCCAGGAAAGTTAGAGAGATCAAATTAAATGACCCTGACCAGAATAAGCGGTTAGAAGATGGATGAATAAAATTAAACGGGGGTGGGGGGTTCCAGTTCTTTGGTGGCCTATATACCAAGCATGCGCTCCTCAATAATTTCCTAAATTATACAGCCGGGTTGCATAAGCTGTGTTACCGCGACACGGCGGCCAGGATGCCGCAAACGCCGTCCGCGGTTAGGAAAGTCGCTTCATTCCCCGTCTCAGATACGCCTCAGTAGCCCGGGATGATGCGAGAGAAGCAGATCGGGGGGGGTGGCATGGCTTACCGAGCTCACTGAGCCTTGGCGAGCGGCCCGGCGAACTCCCCTTCTGCACGGAGCATTTTAGCGGACATCCCGCATTCCGCCGCGAGGCCGAAGGGAGTGAGACGGGATACATCACCAGTCCCGTACAGCCCAGCCCTCCTGACCCCAGAGGGACCATCACGGCCGCGCTGGGCGACTGTCAGAGCCTCCTGAAGTCGCCCGTTTTGCGCCGCGTGATCAGCCAGGCGCTACGGATTACGCCGGCTTTCCAGCACCGTATCTCCATAAACAAACAACGGGGTTCTGCGGCGGAACCACGCAGCCCACCATCTGCGCGAGAAAAAACAGGGCTGAGCAGTGAGGGGAGCCCAGACCGGGGTTTGGACCGTGCCCTTGTCCACACGATCAATTTCGGTCTAATCTGTTGCACAGGCTACCACATAATGGAGGCACTGTTTGGCCGGGACTCGAACCTCTCCGGAGCTCTCCGGGGTCAGGGAGGCTTCGGTGCCCCCAGTGCCAGCACCTGTTCACGTTGCCAACTGGTCAGATACCATGGAAACCGCCCACCCCCTCCAAAAAAGAATGAGAAGCCGCAGATCTTTTAGATCCGAAAACCCAAAGGCCCTTTCCATGTGATCAGAGATGGCGATGAATACGTTTTTTTTGACATATTTACTGTACGGGGGAGGAAGGGGGTGCCGTCACTGAGATTAGTCACACAGCCAAGCCAGACGTGAAGCACAACACAAGCGTTCATGAGTCAGTGAAGCAGACACAATGGCGATTTTAAGGCCATTTAATTATGCAAAACGCAAAATAAACACCCACGCTTCCAGTTTGCGTTTCTCAGTTTATCCACGCTCATAAAAATGATTGCAGCAGGGAGATCAAAACCCAAGCGGGAGTTTAAGAAAGAGCCTTTATAATAAAATACGGAATTTTAATGAGAGCCTCCTGTCCATTTACTGAACACGTACTGTCGTTTAGAAAGTGATTTGTATTTCAAACTTTCCCGTTCACATCGTTAGGTACCTGGGCTGCTACAAAGATTATAATTTACAACACTAACGAATATCCTCCCTCAGTATGGACTGTTAAGCGGGGGGGGGGGGGTGTAATAAACTTTAAACGACAATTTCCACAGTGCATCCAGAGTAAGGAATGATAGGGGGCTGATTTCCCAAAGTTTCAGGACTTCTGGATGCACTTTGGATTGGTATGCATTCAACACCTGGGAAAAGATCAGTAAAGCAGAGTTACAAGCGCCCGGCGAGCGGTCAAGAAGACAGAGATGCAGAAAGACAGTAAATTGCACGTAAAGCGCATAAAAACGAGGCGTCTCGCAAGTCGGCGTGTCCCCTACATCACTATTTGTGAAACATATTTATTGATACTATAGAAAGCTTATGCACTTGAAAATAAACCTGACTACGACTCATAAAAACCAGAAGCCACCAGGTTTACGAGCTTCACATAAAGTGTGGGCGCTATGATTTGCACTGGCTTCACGAGATCAATAAATAATGTCTACGGCACTTAACAAGCTGTCGGCGGCTGTCATCCACACGTTACTGACATTGATTATTCAGCGCTGAAATAAAGATACATGCTTTATACCTCGGTCATGGCAAACGGTGTCAAAATCAGACAAGCCATTTGTTTAGAAGAGATATAGAGGCGATCAAAGCATTACAACCTGTAATCTTATTCAGAAAACCAAACACGCACTAGTACAGGTAAGAACATTAACAAAACACAGGTAGAACTTCATTAATGCCGCTGTATTACACGAACTACAGTATTAATATAATCTAGATGATTTGCAGTTTAATACCAATACTTTATCGACTCGATTAACAATCTTGTAAACATTCAACGGTTTAACGTTACTCAGAGGCATGCCCTGACTTATTTCACTACCACCTTTGATCTAGCCCACTCGCGCTACATCCTTCCCAAGACACAAACGGGGCTGATCATGCATTTACAAAAAATAAATAAATACGCACGTTTCTGACCATATGAAACTTCAGCATAGGTGGAGAAATACTTGGTTTTAAACCACGAATCGTCCGTCCAGGGAAGTGAAAAACTTTTCCTAGTCTTTTATTTCCAAAACAGTTCCCTAATAAAGCGAGAGAGCTAAACTCCTCCCTGGCACAAAACTAGCTTCATGAGAGCCGAAAGCGAGCGCGTCTCGGCGGGGTACATTACCTGCGAGTCCTGGACCGACGGCCGGCCACTCCGCTTGTTCCGCAGGCCAGCAGACAGACTGCGAACACCCAGACGTGGGACCCCGACGAAGAGAAATGCGCAACGTGGAAAACTTTTGCGCAAACTTTTCTGGGTTAACTGGGAGTTGGGATAGCGCCCCTAGCGGCCATTGGGTGTAAGCTCACCGTGCTCTATACCTGATCGAGAACGAGCGGCTGCGCGCACAAGGTGATGAATCTCACCAAACTTAATAATCCTCTTTTATTCTATTGCTATCGGTCCTTATAACACATTTTAACACTGAACCAATTTTACGACAATCTGAAATAATTAACTCATAAGCTGTGTTATTTATGGAAATAATTCGAGACGTATTACCTAAATGGGTCATACGAGCCAAATTTAGGTCATAACTCTTCGTCTGTGTCTGTTTTGTTTCTGAAAGCCAGAAAGAAACTTTAATCAACTTCATAACACGTATGTAACGACGATGCTTGTGGGTGCTGGTAAAGATATGCTGCATATTCCGGCTTTCCTGAAACAGTGTAATGGCAGTTAAATACTTATAAGGCAAGTTTAGGAAAATCACGAGAAAATGAATGAGTTAATGACGACAGGAAGTAGAAAGATTAAAATGCATCCATTGTAAAAGTGATTTGAGCTTCATGTATATATATACAGTGTGAGCAAAGCAGCTTAGTACAGCCGCTAGGGCGTTATAGTGACACCCCAGGCAGAAAAAATTTCCTAGGCTATTGCTCCGCAGAATATCGCGTTTATTTAACTTCTCAATATAAATATAGACTAAAACTAGGCTACATTTTGTCTTTTTTAATTAAAATCTCCTGAGGCAGAAAATACGGAAAGCTGTGTCTTAAAAAAAAAATCTGGCTTCCAGCGTTATGCCTATGTCTGGCATTGCAGTCGGGAGATATCCGATCTGCGTTCATTTTGCCGTTACAATGGGATCTGGCGCGGGGTTAACCGGGGAACCCCCCCCCATTAGCTGCTTATAAAGGCACACCTGGCGTCGAGGTGCGTTTTCTTTGTTTTAACACATTCGCTGCTGTTGCTGTAGGTTTAAATTTACACTCCAGCTGCCAGCAGGTACGTTAATTCCCTGACTAAATAACGAAAAGTTAACGCAGTGAAACGCAGCTTAACCATTCTGTAGGGCTGCATGGAGACTCATCCATAGGCGACTCTAGACTTTTCTCCCAGGGGGTTCAAGGTGAGAGAGCCCAACCGGTCATTCATCTAGATAAATACATTTGTAAAATAAAAATAGTAAATACATTTACGATAAATTATTATTACATGCTGATATGACGAACAAAAGCTACATTTTCAAATCTAACGTTACAATTTAATTTAATTAAACGTGTGTTCAAATAACATTTTCATCTAACCAATAGGGGGTGCAATTGCACCTATGCTCACATCTCCAGGGTTCATGGTTCAAGACTCACTCCCTGCTATCTATGTATGGAATTGAGTGCTTCAAGAGGTAGCAACACGTCTTTGTTTTCTCTTCAGAGTACTGACAGAGGTGGCTAATTCAGGTCCAAAGAGTAAAAATCCAGACTTAAGATTTTGTTTCAACCAACCACTTGAGTATAAAGAGTCACAGCCACAGAGGACTCAAATGGTTGGCTGAAACAAAATCTTGGTCTGGATCCCCCCACCCTCCACTAGTACCTGTGACCAGATGCTCATGGGTTCAAATCCCACCCTAGACAAAATAATCACGTGTCTGTGGGCCCTTGAGTAAGGCCCCTAACCCCCAGCTCTAGGTGCAGCACATGTTGGCTGACCCTGCACTGCGACCCCCCAAGCTATGGAGAGCAAGATGTGGTCGGCAAAGAGAAGCATTCCACTGTACCTGTAGGTCTACATGGATGTCCACCCATTGATTCTCACCAATGAGCACTGTGAGGACCTGCTCATGTACTGTGCTGTGGATTATCGATCAGACTAATGTCTTATTCCACCCTTAATTAGCTTCTGTCATTATTACGCTGACCTGGGCACAAGCTTTAAATGATGTTTCGCCAGTTTGTAGCAGGAGACGAGACCTTCATGTAATTTTTGATCAGCATGGCAAAAGACCTGTCATCTCCTGGTGGTTTGTGCAGCCCGATCCTGGGCACTGGGAGCCACACCTTGTGGGCGGAGTCAGTAGACCACAGCCAATCACAGACCAAGAAGCCCTGGGCTGCCATGACATCAGCCTGAGATGATATTCTGGATGCTGTGCTGAAAAAGGGTGCAGAAAAAATATTGAAGAAAATATTTAATAATACTTTAGAACCCTGGCATGGTTGGACCAGAGAGCCTGTGAGATTTTCCAGCCATCTTTAACAAACATGACACGTGAAAATGACTTCAGCCGGGAAAATGATTAGCATTACCACGCACTCAGGTTTCAATATGGAGCAAAAAGTCACGCACACACTGACTGATTGGTGGAACCTGGTTTCACAATGGCCTCACAGAGATGGAGCTGGCCCTTGGTGTAAAGGTCAGTCCTGAACCATCTCTCCGAGTCGTGTTTTTCCACCTTATAATAACCCCTGTGCAGCAAAAAGCCAGAGAGCCACTGTTACATAATATTTGTGAAAAACAGCTTTTCTTGATTTTAATGTTTAGTTCAAGAGTAATATTGAAAAGTTGCTTGAAGTAATAATCTGTCTATTTCACATGACTACTTATAGAATTACAGTCAGTCTGGAATCTACCCCAGAAAGCTCAAATCACCCCAGATGGGATGCCAGTCCATCGCAGGGCACGGGGCTGGGGCACACCCGGGATGGGATGCCAGTCCATCACAACCTGCTTAATTTGCCACCATTCCAGTGCCTTGGTAAGCATGGAGCTCACAGCATTCCTGCTGCTGGGAGGAGCTCCTCACACAACTGGGGATTGCCTCCTGGGGGGGGGTCATCCCAAACTGAGTGGACATTTGTTTTTTTTCTCCCTGGTGGCCCAAGCTTGTGACCCAGGATGCATAGGATTCACCACCTTTCACCCATGTTCCCGACCTTGTGGTCCAGCAACTGTGAGGTCAAGACCCCAACCACGACATGCATCCCAAAACTCACGTAACGCCTCCGGGTGCTACGCCTGTTCTGTGTTTCTGAGACTAGAACCCAAATATAAGACTGGTAATGCTGTTCAAACTTAATATTGTCATGCTAGAGCATGACAAGAGGATTTGTGTTGTATATGCAAATTAATTTATATATACAGACTGTCCCAGAATTACGACTGGGTCCGTTCCGACAGCTTGTGCACCAAAATGGACGTATGTCAGAATAAGATAATCACACCGACTTTTAGGTGTGAGAATATGACTGGGAGAAGCGTGTGAGGCTGGGATGGTCATTCTGCCATACAGGACAATGCTCTCCCGCGGCAGCCATCATAGCACTAGGTAGCTTAGCACTGCCTGGTATGCAGCCGCCCGAAATTTAAGATATGTACTCATTTTTTTTGCTTAAAAACAAATTTTAGTCGTACGTGTGAGTCGGGAGTCATATAGGTTGTAAGTTGGGGACATTTAAATTATGCTGTTTAGACTTCAAATTAAAATTTAATCAGCTAGATGTTTCACTGAACATATTAAGATAATGTGTGTGTCTCTGTATCAAGTTGGGAACTGATTTCCTTGGTGCTAAAGTGGTACATGACAGGGCGCCGGACTTCGGTATGGATGTCATGCAAACGGCTCCATTTACTTCAGACTTTTTACTTGAAGAATCTGAGTGCTGTATGACCTGAGCCTGTTAGTGTGTGAATATCGATGACTGATGAGTGGATCGGGCCCCCAGGGTGTGGGTTTAATTACTCTAGATCTTAATGGAGTCCCAGGCAGATTGGTCAGAGTGCATTTTCATTACTTGCTATTGTGGAGTCTTCTTGTCCTGATGCAAAGGTGAGCACAGAGTCCAGGTTCTTCAGACCCCTGGGCAGCTCCGTTGGGATGATGGACTCGGTGAATTATGCTGGAACGGCGCCTGCTATTCGTCCTTGACTTGAGAAAGAAGCCTATTTGCTCCAGATCCCAACCAGGAGAACAGCAGCACATGCATTCCAGGCTCTACCCAAGATACCACACAGCTTAGACAGCAACCTTGGGTCAGGTATCTGCTGACATGTGGATGGTCTAGTCTAAGGCCCACTGGGTATATGTTTGCAAAGAGCAGAACCTGGAAAAGCTGCAAGTGGAGCATTGGGGAAGGACCTACGCTTATGGTTGTAGGTTCAGAGAGCTGGAATTGTCACGTCCCTGAAAAGATAGATCACCTGGATTACTGCAGAAAACGTGTCGATGGCGCTCAAACCTCACCACACTAGTGACATCTACAAACGCTCCCCGAACAGCCAAAGCACGACTTGACATCTCTGCTGATGAACAGATGGATGAATAGCCAAATTGACCATCTCCACCTCCTTAAAAGGCTCCGACAGACTTGCTGTGATTTATTTTTAATGATCGTAGCTTTGCTGTGCCGAAGTCTTGCTCCAAGCTCATAGCCGATATGATTTATGAATGCAGACAAACCTTCTTGCACGAGCGGGCTAAGTGTGACAGGCCAGCGAGCTGCTCTCCAAGTGACAGATATCACCCAGACTTCCAGTTTATAACCAACACTTCTTATTGCTCTGGGTCAGTCCATCACAAGCTAAGTCTGGGAAGCCATTGACTCTGCCTGATCCTCCGCAAGCATGTTCTGCACTTTGTCTGCAGTGCGACATCTCAGATCTCAATCTTCAGTTGCCCTAGTCACTAGTGCAATAGTGAAAATCTGTGCAAACACTGTGAAACCACAGGTCCTGTGGAGTGCCACGTAATCAGTTAACATTCATGTCTGAAACAGACCTGGAATACATAGGAAGAAAGCCTCATTACAGTACAGTGACCTCTGTGATATACAGGGGACCATTAGGTGTAGGACAGACTTAAATCACACTAAGTGGACAAACCCACCTTCCAGGCCCCATTGAGACCGGATACCACAAGTTGACATTTTCTAGAATAGAATGTAAATACATCCACAGATTGAGTGTGTAGTCTATACACAAGTTTCACTACTATGAAGTTTCAGTGAGTCATTGGTACGGCCTTCACCCCAAGTGCTATGGCACCACCTTGTGGTTGTTGTGTGACACTACAGCTCCATTGATACATGCACATATTTGCAGGAGGAATTAGTGATGCTTTCTTCTCCCTGGGGAAATTGGGTAGTTTTCACAGATCCATTTCTCTGCAAGTCAGCCTCGTGCAGTTAGAGGTGAGATGTGGGTGAGCGCACAGGCGCACCAGCACCCAGTACCCCTGCAATGGGCAGGCGGTGGATACTGGGGATGAGTAGACTGCTGGCTGCAGGATTTGAACCAATGACCTTCCTTGCACAGAACTGGTGTGGGTGCATGATTTTGGGATGGCCTCAATCAGCCAATAACAGTGGGTCCCCAGGACTGGGGTTGAGAACCACTGCTTTAGTATTAGCCGATTGAAAGGCCATCCCAAAAACCTGCACCCACACCGGCCCTCCATGGAACAGGTTCCCCACCCCTGGCCTAAGTAAACGGTTTGGAGGAGAGAAGGAAAAAGGGGGGGGGGATGCCATTAAAACAGATCAGTCACTAAAGTCAGAAATGCAGTTTTATTCAATTCCAGGAATTTTGGGACAAACATCTGAAGTCAAATGAGCACATACAGCCCACCATGTCCTTATTGGGACAACTTAAGTGCAAATTCCCATTCAAAAGCCTCCAACAGCAGAGCAACTTCAGCAAAAGCTACAGATTTGTAGGGAAGCAACTTGAGGCTTGTTCACGCCCAGAAAGACAAGGACCCAGAGTGAGACACCAAGGGCTGGGGTCCACCAGAGCTTTCCTGTGCTGTCATCGACCCCCCCACAGCGGGTGGGGGTGGGCGCACACAGCCACCTCACTCAGCACTTCCTGGGCTGCTGGATGACAAAGGCCTTCGGTGAATGCGGCTTTGCCACAGCAGGGATCAGCCGACTGTGCCGCACGCTCACTGGGGCCGTGGGGAAGTCGTGCGCCAGCTGAAAAGTGAAAGCACGTCTACATTTCAGCGAAACCCGTGCACGTCACCCACCCACAGAGACATCTGCACACACAAGGCTAACAGTAGCATTGTCCCGATTCTTGCTGTGGCGTTCCTGCAGTTCAGACCTACGCGATTACTTTAATACCAGGGGGACAGATGTGTCACTCACCTTGTCCAGGGTACCTGCCAACAACAGATTTACAGACTGCATTCTGATTGGAGCAGGCAAGGACCTGAAAGAGGCAGGGGGAGGTCAAAAGCATGTGCAATATGGTGGAGGTTAAGCCACAGGCTTCTGCAAAGAGGGGAAGCACTGCTTGGCCACACATCCTCCTTCACCACCAAGCACTAGGAGCCCACGGCTGCGTTCGCACCAGCACCTCCACACCACTGGTGCCTTAAGAGGATACCTGGCCTTGTCCACAGCTCGCTTCACATCTTTCTCTGGGGGAGAGGCCTCTTCGGAGCTCTTCTTGGCCACCCGTTTCCCCCCCGCCATCACTGTGAACAGAATTCACACACACACACCCCTCAGGCCCAGAATAGAGGAGTCCAACATGTGTTGGGAACAGCCTAGGTGGACCTTGGAAGGCTAGAATACCACATATGTAGCACTGAATCACAGTACTTCCGAAACCTTCAAAGGCTTAGGGTGCACAAATGTTTTGTCTACCTCCATCTTAAGTGGAAAGAGTCAGAGGAATCTGCCAGAGGAAGCTCCGAGTTAAAGCAGGGTAGTTGGAGAGTTTTCAAAGGCATCATTCAGCTTTTGTACGTCGGTGTCGCTCAGTCGGTACAGAACTGGTTTGTACCAAGTGCAGTAGACAGGCGACTATTGTATTTTCACACGTCTCTATACACTAAGGGCAGCGAAGTGTTTGCACAAGTGGTAAACGGAGTCGAGGCTTTAAGCGAAAAGCTCACGCATCTGTAGGAGACAAGCGTGCGCCATTTGACGGCAATTTGGGAAAGCAAAATAAGAGCGATTTCGCAGAAGAAAAAAAAAAATACGGAATACAGTACACGACCCGAATCAGGGGCACACATGGACTTGATGTAGTGATATACATTGGTTTGAAAATTAATATGGCAGAGTAAACAAAAGTCTAATGTAAAAAAATAGCTACTGGGCATAGATGAGATCCCCAGACGGAAAACAGCCAAGGTAGACGTGTCGGAAGTGAGAGGATAGCAAGTTTGTACAAGTTTCTACTCAAGAATCAATTTTGAAAATAATCACATTTCCGTCCACGCTCCGCCGTGCGCAAAAACTTAAATCTGAAACGAAGCGAAGGGGTTTCCGCACTTGGGATCCAGCCAAGCAGTCCCACATTAAATTACTGTAGAGAAAAAACAAAGATCAGCTTTCGAAATGAAAAAGTCACTGGCGGCGATGGGCCGGATGGCTTACCTGCGGGGGGGTGGCCAGCCTTCAGCGCCGCTCTGTTCTGCACCCCGGGCTTCGACACCTGCACCATGTTGCGCCGCTCGGCCAACACACTAACATCAACAGGGCGCCGATGGGGGCACGCACTCCTATTTATACCTCTAAAGGGTCAGGATGGTTTCTGCACGACGCAGGAAATTAGACTTACGGGGTGGAGTTAAAGTTAAAAACAAGCAGCACCCGACACGCTTTGGTTACTTACCCACCAGCACACAATGCAAATGTGAGTCACGTTACAACCGCAAAGCGTTAGCTACATTTACAGAGAAGTTACTCGCTACTTTTGTTCAGCATTTCAGAGAATAATTTGAATATTAAACCATACAATTACTTTCTTGGAGTCTAAAGCTTATAAGTATAAGTTTAGATTTACTAGAGCGCCAGTTCACTAACCACTCTAAATTGGACTGACGTTCGAACTGTTGTGAAACATTACTGGTACATTAAATTTAAGAACACAGTCAAAGATAAATAACTAGGTAGGCATTACGACATTTGCACATTGACACGGTTTTGACATTTTAATCAGATTGTAGAGGTGGATCCAAACAGCTAGAAGAGGCGGGATCAGCCAATCTGATTGGTTATCTCTCTCACCCAATCATTTTTCATTCCGCCCTCAGAACGTTTTTCCATAAGTAGAACTCCCACGAGCTCGAGGCGGCTTCGGCCCGTCCTCTCGACGGCTTCCTGTTTGTTTCAGTATTCGGATTTTTGGCAGGAGCTGCTGGTGTGTTTGCCTGCCCAGGGCAGAGGGTGTGACCACAGGCGTCCATTGGGGTCTTTGGCACACCGGGAGAGAGAGGGGATGTGTACACTAAACCATGCTAACATCTGCAGGATATACCACAGCGCTCTTGGGTTTCTTCAGAAATAGAGGACATTTTTATCACTTGGTTTTACAATCCTGTGTTTTTAGGATGGGCTGAAATTGTTTGCTCTGTACCAAGAATGTTTTCCTGCAACCTTTTGGGGTGGCACTGAAGTCTGATTACCGTAACAGATCGCTGTAAGTCCGGCCACACTCCAGCCCAAGGTGACGACCGTACACACGTTAATATTTATACACGCTGATGTTCAGAGAAGGTTCCGGCTGAACTCCCATGCAGACTAAATGTATCAGATTGAAATTTTATTTTTTATTTGAGTTACATATGGAATGAACCATCCATTTTCTAAAACGTTTATTTAGTAAAGGGCTGTTTGTGGGACCCTGTAGCCTGTTCCAGGCAGCACAGAGTGTAAACACCCTGTATGGAATGCCAGTCCGTCACAGGACACATGCGCGCGCGCACACACACACACACACACACACACACAGTGCCATTTAGAGACACCGATTCACCTCACTGCTCATCTTTAGCCTACAGGAGGAACCTGGTGTACCCGAAAGAAACCTGCAGGACAAGGGGAGACCATAGAAACTGCCAGAATGGACCTTCTGACTCTTTCTCCTCCCCCCACAGACTGAGGATGGCAGAATGCCCCCATGGATGAAACGTTCACGTTTATTTCTACTCATGTGCATAGAACATGGCGGTGAACCATCCACAGGGGGGTCACTGGACAGGACATGGAAAAATAAACGCCTCTGCAATGTCACACACATGTTTACAATCGCACAGTTCATTTAAAAAAAGAATGTCACTTTTTAGACACTTCAATTGATCCCACATTTTCTTTAAATGGCTCCATATATTTATACAGGATTAATATGGCACAAGAGTTTACTGATGCTGATGATCTGAGGGCTGCGAGGGATTCGATTTCAGGGTGTACAGAGAGGAAACCACAAGAACGGGGTGACAGACAATGTCTCGATGTGACACACAGCAGTACGACATGGAAGGAGGACGGTTCGAATCCCATGAACAAGCCATCTCCATCTTGTTCTTCTCACTAATGTCAAACTGTCTTTTCACGAGGCCTCTCATCTCCCACTTTGCTGCCGCAAAGGCATCATGTGACCCGCTCCACCGTCGCCCCCGCTGGGTTGCGGGTTCGAGAAACGGAATCGCGTGGATCAGGAAGGGCCGACGTGTATGGAGAGGCGCCCCCTGCTGTCTCTTTCTGGCTCTGCGTTCCTTCCATGACATTACCGGCTCACTGAGCATGCAGAGACCTGTTTGAGATGCACAGGGCAAACTCAGTTCAGACGGGATGGCCACCCCTCCCGCCCGCAGCAGAACCTTCTAGACCCAGGAGTCGGGTGACTCTGGATACTGCTCCGCCCGGTAGGACGGCTGCCGCGTAGTGGAGTAGAAGTCCACGTAGTTGGTGTTGGACTTGAGCGTGTGCAGAGAGGGGGCATAGTCCGTGGCGAAGTGCACCGCGTCCTCAAAGTAGGGCTCCTCGTAGCCGAGCGGGGGCTGCCGGTACGGCCGGTAGGTGTCATAGGTCCTCCTGGCCTGCTCGTCTGCGTAGTACAGCTGCAGGAGAGATCAACGGCCATGCAGACCTGTCCTGCTCTGCTCCGCCACATAACACACCCAATTCCATCCCATGCCCCCCCCCAACTCACCCAGTTGCAATGTTTTGAAAACAGCAGATGAATTCCATGGAAACTGCTCCCGCCTCCCTCCCTCCCTCCCTTTAATTTCCTCCCTTCCTCCTTCGCCCACTCTTTCTCTTCCTTCCATCCCTCCCTCCTGTACTGGAGTTTTCCAAGGCCCCCACCTTACAGGGAAACCCTTGCAGACCCCCCCCCCGTCTCACCTGTGTTCTCCTTGATTCCTCCCTGGGTGGTGAGGGGCAGGACTCTATGAAGTACGGCGATGGCTTCGCAGGGCCTGCGCGGAAAGATGCATGAGGGACGGGGTCTTGCTCTGGCACTGCGAGCGGCTGCCCCCTCCCCCCAAACCCCCCATCCTCTCTCCCACCACGAAGCACGGCTCACAGCCGACTGCGGGCTGGGCTGCTCCCAGTTTACTGCTCTTTACTCTGACTGCACCATCTTATTTGCCCTGGCGCAGCTTCAAGGAATCCAAACCCAAAGAAGCCTTTCTCCGGTAATCCCCCAGTGTGTTGTCATGGTGACGCCCCCAAGCTGAAGGGCTTCCATCTGGCTGAGATATGTCTGCCAGCCCCCCCCAGGCATTGAGGCGGGCTGCTCTGTAGCAGGGGGTTACAGGGGTGGGGCACACAGGGCCACTTGGGGGCGCTCTTTAGAACTTGGCAGAACTTAAGCGAGTCCAAATTGAGCAGGGCTGCAGGGGTGCGGTGGGGGGCAGGGTGAGGAACACTGTCAGAGAAGATCTGTGGGCAGTGACATCCTTGATGATGCTGTAGAGCGGTGTTTCCCATCCCGGTCCTTGGGGACCCCCACCAGTCCACGTTTTTGCTCCCTCCCTGCTCCTGATGGATGGTTTGGCAGCTGGGAGAGAACAGAATGCGGACTGTCTAGGGGTCCCTGAGGACGCCTATGAAAAACACTGCTCTAAAGGAAACTGTGGTTTCAGAAGAACACAGAGTAGTGCTGTGGGGGGGGGGGGGTGGCGGTTTCCTGCTGTCACATGATCACCCAGCAAGCATGCAGTGTCTTACCTGCGTACTGACTTTTATGCACACCGTTGTCTCCTTGGTAATTATAAAATTGCATAGTTGACTGCGTTCTCTGGTAGTTTGAGCGGCGTTCTGTGATTGCCAGCACGGCAGGGGAAGAGGTGGCACTGCAGGCTGGACAGACACACAGCATCAGGGCGCAAGGTGAGCATTCTGGGGCCTATCAGGCGCTTCTGTAGAAGGCTCACTGTCCATGACGGTACCGTCTCAGGACTACATTTCCCACGTTCCCCTGACTTCTTAGGCTCACCTATCTGGTTCACGGGTGACATCTGCATAGCGTTGCTGGGCAGAGTGGGCTGGGACTTGTACCTGTCCCGCTCCAGTGTGGAGACAGGTGTTATGAAGTGGTTCTGGTTCCATCCATCCTGAGATCACAAGACACGTCAAAAATCTGAACAGTAAGGCATTTGTATGTATAAGGTGTGATATACAGCTACTTAACACAAGGTGATCCGAATGCACCTACAAACGTCCGGTCAGAGGTGGAAAGTTCAGGTCCAGAGACTAAAAATCCAGACCAGAGTTTTGTTTCAACCAATCAGTTGAGTCACAGTCACAGAGTACTAAACTGGTTGGTCAAAAGTAAATCCTGGTCTGGAGTTTTACTTTCTGGCCCTGAACTACCCACGACTTCTTCCAGTGATGAGTCCTGCGAACCCGCAGTGTCGCAGCCCCTCACCTTCTTGTAGATGGCGCGCAGGTCTCTGTACTGCCACAGTGTGTTGAGCACCTGGGCAGCAGCTTTTGCCACCTTCATGGAGTACCTGCAACATGGCAGCCAGAGAGGTTCTTAGGTAATCAGATAACTAGTGAGCAGTTTGCAGACAGCTTGAGCTCCCACACTCTGCCCACTCCTTGCCCCGCCCACACGTGACCACGCCCACACAGGACCCCGCCCATATATGACCCCACCCACACGTGACCACACCCACCCACGACCCCGCCCGTATATAAGCACGCCCACCCACGACCCCACCCATATATGACCCCGCCCACATGTGACCACACCCACCAACGACCCCACCCATATATGACCCCGCCCACCTCTCGCCCCTGCCCTTGGTGATGTTGACGAGCTTCTCGATGCCGCCGGTGTCTGCCAGCGCCTTGGCGTTCTCCATGTTCTTGCTGGTGACCTCGTGCAGCGTGCAGCAGACGGCTGCCACCGTCTCGTCAGACAGCAGCGAGGCGCCGGGGCCGGGGAGACGGTTAACCAGGTCCCGCATGGCGTACTTCCCTGCAGGAAGCCTCGGGGTGGTTACTGCCATATTCCTCTGCATATCCACACCTCAAGGGCACTATAGAGGGACCAACAGCTCCATCCCACACTCATCAGAAATGTCCAACACCCACGGCCCCTGTGGAAGCTCTGGGACCCTCTCTGCACCATGGCACATCATCCAAAGCAAACTCCTTACATTTAATAAATGATATGTATTTATTTAACTTTTAAAGACCCGCTCAATCATCCATTCTGGGAGGTGCCCTGTGCTGCCTGGGATAGGCTCTAGGCCCCCCACCCCCCCAATCCTGATAATGGATGGATGGATCCAACTGGTTGTTTTTACTCGCTTAGCTTAGGTTAAAACACCTACAACACCAGTCCTCCTCTCAGGTACATATTCACGCCCCCGGTCACGAGGCTAATCCTCCATCCTAACACCACCACCCCCCTCCCCCGGCCAAGATCCTCATACCGTTTCCATATCAAGCCAATAAAAACTATTTCTGTAGCAAAAGCCACAAGAAGCTTGTGTATGGAGGAGGCAAACAGGAGCAGCAGCGGAGTGCCCGTGGTTTTCGGGTGGGGTAACCGCGCTGGCCTGCTCCCCCACCCTGCGGCGGGGTGGGGCAGGGCTTGTGTTTCATGTTAACCATCTCCACGGAGCCCATGATCTCCACCCATGTCCAGCTCCTTCAGCCTTCCGTCTCGCCTGTTTGCTCATTAACCAAAACAGAATCTGAATAACAGCATGTATCCGATTACCCGCACTGCTCTCTTTACCTTATTATTATTATTAAGCTATTCACTGTCAGACAACTGACACTATTTAGTCCATCGTTTATTCTGCTGCATTATTTATCATTACTGTTTGAATACAGCTTTCAGTGCACTGTGTATATACACCCTCGTTTCCAGCCCGCCTGTCACGTACCATCCTGTGTTCTATACTTTAGATACTGTGTTAACCCTCCCCTTCTCGCTCACTGTTTGTACGTCACACTGTGGTTCTGGGGGAACGTTACTTCACGGCGGTGTACACAGGGCTGGCTCTACCATCTCAGGAGCCACAGGCAAAGCTATTAAGAAGACCGACGACCATTTCACTTCCTCTGCAATGGGGGTAATTCAGGCCTATTCTGCTTGTAGCTGCAGCCGGTCCTCTCTGTACGACTGTATACCTGCATATACTCCGGGGCTGGAGTCCCCCAGAGGACACTGAGTCCAGAACGAAAAAATCCAGACCAAGATTTCGTTTCAACCAACCAGTTGAATACTCCAGGCTTTCTCAACCCAGGCCTTAGAGACCACCAGACCGTCCACATTTTGGTAATTGGGAGAGAGCAAAAACATGGATGGTCTGGAGGTCCTTGAGGACTGGGTTGAGAAAGCCTGGAGTATTCAACTGGTTGGTTGAAACGAAATTTTAGTCTGGATTTTTACGTTCCGGTCCTGAGCTACCCACCCCGGCCTATAGGTGTCACCCAGCTGTGTGGTGCAGAAGTCGGTGGACGCTGCCTCCTCACCGATCAGTTCCTTGTTCCTTACGTCCAGGGCCATGTTCCTGAGTGCCGTGGCCACAGAGCAGACCACGCGGTCGTTGTCCATACGCAGCAGCTCCACAAGGATGGGGAGGCCCTTCTCCTTGCGCACTGCGGCCCGGATGAAGGCCGCAAACTGGAAAGGCAGGACGGCAGGGGGTTAGGAGGGGGAGAGGAAGAAGTCTAAGGCGAGGCCGGTATGCGGCATCTCTCTGGCATTCTGGGAAGGTCACAAAATCTTGACACAGTAGCGGAAAATCTGTTGTTCGACATGATAATGACCCTAAGCGCACCTGGAGGTTGTGTAAGTAACTGTATTATCTTGTGAACAAGGAATGAGATGGATTGCTGGGATGAGTTAGACCAAAGAGTAAGAGCAAGGTAGCCGACTTGTGCCCAGAACTTGTGGAAACTCCTTCAGCACTGTGGGAGAAGCATCCCAGGTGGCTACATCTGGAAGCTGGTTCAAAGAGTCTACAATGCTGTCATCAACGCAAAAGGGAGCCATTTTGAGGAGGTGTGTCCAGAATTTTGACTGGTACTGTATGTTTTCCAGATGCGATGCTATGGACATAAACAGCTAATTTATAGGCCAGATTTTAATTCTACCTGTACATTACAATGCAGATACACAGACCGTAGACTTCCTTCTGTCCCGCTGTGTTCAATGCTGGGACTTCTTCCCCAGTGGGAGGGGCTCACCTTCCAGTTGCCGGCGCTGAGGTTCTGCAGGGACCCCGCGGAGCCCTCCAGTGTAGCCGGGTTCGAGCTCTCTGCCAGCAGCGTCAAGTACGGTTTTACCACGGCCGGGTGCCACAGCACCTCCACCCCCTTGGGGGCCTTGGAGAAGCCGGGGATGGGGCCCACGCCGTCCCACTGCCAAACGGAGAAGGGAATTAGGGCATCTGTGATGCAGAGTGCCTGAACTCCTCTTTCACACCCGAAACGGAGAAGTGGCCTCCGCGGTGAGGAGCCGAGGGCCCCCACCTGCTCATCCTGGGGGGCCCGTTTCTTCCTCCTCTTCCTGCGGCCCCAGCAGCTGGGCTCCGCCTCCTTGCTGGGTGACTCCCTCCCCAGTAGGCTGGTCATCTCCTGCGTGCCCAGAGGGCCCGACTGGGGCATCTCCAGCTCCAGGCGGTACGACAGGTTTCGCAGGGTGCAGATACAGTTCTCTACAATCTGAAAAGGGGAGGTGGGGGGGGCATCCATAACTCAGCACCACCAGCAGGGGGCGCTCAGTGATTTCCCTCTGCCACTCTCAAAGGGAGAACAATGGGGCTGAGATCATTTATTTATATATTCCCAGGGCACAGAGGGAGCGCCCGCCCACCTTGCTGTCGAAGTCGGAGGTGCTGACGCAGGCCTTGATGATGTACAGCAGGGAATCCACCAGCCCCTCACAGCAGCGCATCTGCCTCCGCGCCTCCTCCCCTGCCGAGCTCAGGTTTCTGGGGAGGTGGCAGGAGGCAGCGGGTCACTCACTCAGCATACGATTATGGTCTGAAGCCAGCCATTATGGAGGGCTAATGACGAGTGAGACATCACCGCCCCAGGCGGGGAGGGGACCAGGGGTGGTGGACCGATTAGCATTACCACGCTAACTGGAATATGTGTCTGCATTTGCCGAGACGATGTCAGGGCCTGGGGCCACTAAGCGGGTTCAATGGTGGCCCCCTTAACAGGACAAAGAAAAGATTGTGAAAGACCAAGTTCTAGTGTATTTTTTAGGAAGCGTGTGCAGGAGAATCTCAGATAGATTTTTCAGTTTCTTAAGAAGCCCTGTGTGAGAATTCCAGCTGTAGTATGTAAGCTGTCCACCAGGGGGCGGCAGCGCAACACTGATGGCAGAGCGGTGCACGAGTGGGGTGGGGGTTGGGGGGAAGCCGGCACCTCAGGCAGCCGCTGGCGTTACGCAGCACCACAGAGGAGTGGAACTTCAGCTTGTGCTCGTCGTCGAAGGAGGAGCTGCTCCACCCCGAGTGGGGGATGATCACAGTGTTGGTGAGGGGGGTGAGGGCATCTCGCACGATGGTCATCTTCACCGCGTCGCACGAGGAGAGGTTCCACAGCACCCCTGCAGGGAAGGTGAGGCGGGGGGGGGGGACAGAAGCAGATCTCAGAGCCGTGACTCCCACACGCCAGTGCATTACTGGAGGCCGGGACACCATCACATTCCGTACGCAGAAATGGAACCGGACACAACTTCCGGGAAATTCAGGCCAGTATCTGAATCAGTATCTGGAATCATCATGGCGGCACATTGGGATTATCAGACTGACACTAGATTACCAGAAACTGGTGTGCATGACTTTCTGGTAGAGGCTACTGTGGACCAGGAACGTGTGTGTGTGTGTGCAAGCGTGCATGTGTGTGCCTGCGTGTGTGTGTGCGTGCCTGCATGTGTGTTTGCGTGTGCATGCGTGTCTGCATGCATGCATTTGTGTTTCAATGGGTGCGTGTGTGTGTGTGTGTGTGCGCATGTGTCTGTGGGGACACGCCCCCCTTTCTCACCCACCCCTACCTGCCTGTGCCTCATTACTGGGGAGCTCCCAGTATACGCGTGCCCTGGACCCCCCACCCCACCCCAGTCCGCCAGTGTTCGTGTGACAGGGCACCCCCTTAAAGATGACATTATATAATGCACAGTGGCACGCACGCACGCACGCACACACACACACACACACACACACACACACACACACACACACACACGGCCGGCGCGGTGATGTCACAGGGGCTCAGGATGCATAAAGCAGGCAGGGTCTCTCAATGAGCTGACAGCCCTTATCGCTGCCTGCCAGGCCAGCGTGCTGATGCGGGCGTAAATGGGACGGGCCCCCGCTTCCTCACAGTATGCCACGTTTAGTCAGCCGCATGCGAGCGGACACACGGGCATGCGCGGGCAGGTCCCACGCGCCCCCCCCCAGGGCCGGAGCGCACAGGGAGCACGCTGCTTAACGGGACTCCTCTGCCTTTTAATGGTTAACACCATGGCTGGTACACAGACAGTCCCTTGTAGTGTGCATTTCAGGACTAACAAATGGGGGGGTGGGCTGCGATTGAGGGCGCTCACATCCGGTATAACTAAGTTGAGGCAGCGCCTCCCTCTGGGAGGAAAACAAAAGGGCGCCCCCAAGAGGGGGCCTGGGGGAACCGCAGCTCGCTGTCTGTAGGCACTGGTGTTATCCGAACCGTCATCCTACAAAACTAATGCATGTACACTTTAGCGGAAGATCTCCCAGCATATCGCGAGCAACTGAAGGAACAGCAGTAACACTTGGCTGCATTTCTCCCCTTGCCCTGCAGGGGGGGCGGATTTGAGCAGCACAGACTGAAGTGGACTCGCTGCCCCACCAGTGTTTCAGGAAGGTCACACAGGTCATTGTCTTTCTGACAGTCATATTCATCCCGCTGTCTAGCCCATAAGACGGTCAAGAGTGTCCAGAGGTTTCATACACAAGCTGATCGCCAACCGGGCTCCCCAGTCTCCGAACAAAACCCGTTCAACATGACACGTCTTTTCAGGTTCAAAAAATGGGAACCGCCCCTGATCCTTATTAATCTTTAATAATTTCCCCATTTCCCATTGTGCTGTGGAGTCACAAAAAGGGCCAATAACCGAGCGACCGTGACAAAAGGACAGAGAACCTAAAAAATACACGATAAAATAAAACACCCTGCAGAAGCGTCCCAGGGAATAAGCTGCTGTGCTCGATTTTCTCGCCGTCTGCCAACGGACACACGAGCTGCTCCTTTGAGCATAACATTCCCCTTTAAGACGCTTAAAAAGCGACCGGCAAGCGACGAACTCCTGCTAATAGAGGGAACCGTCCCACGCTTCATCACACAGTAGCTCCTGCCACTCAGAAACGGTGCCGGGAAATGCATGAAAAAGCGTTTAAATAGAAGGTCACGAGGGGGTCACAGCTAAGTGCATTGTGGGAGACAGTGACAGGGCTGTAATTCCGACAGGGACAGGCGAGTAACAGACTGACAGAAAGGGGAGAATGTGGATGCCAAACAACCCCTAAAACGATCCCTGGCGTGACCCCTGACACCTGAGCTGGCAGGGAAGAGGAGTCTGACCCCACAAGATCAGCGGCGGTCATGACCCCCCAGTCACATGACCACCAACCCCCCCCCAAACCTGTCACAGGTCTATAGATGGCACCAGGGTCCTTCACATGGCATGTCAAACGTCACCAAAGTGCCTCCGAACTCTGAGGTAAGGACCGAGGGCAGAGATCAGGAAATGCATTATTGCAGGTCAATAACTATTCAAGGGCCACAGCTGGGGGTTAAGCAAGGAGGTCATGTGACACACGATGTCAACTTCAGTCTCGTTTCTGATTAGACGATGGCTCGTACGAATCAAATGTTGTTTAGAAAAGCCCAATAAAATAGCATTTTGAAACATGACATCAGTGTGCACTGTACTGTGTATTTCTGTCAGGGAAGATCTGGAAGCCATCAGCTAACTAGGTAGAAGCGGGTATGAAATAGTGTAACATGCCTTTCCCACCCTGTACACCCTGGCTTTTGATAAATCTGACTGCTATTAACAGGGCTGTAGCCAGGATGTTTTAAATACTGAGGTCTAAAGTATACGCACTTCCTAGGTGTGGGCCGCAATGGATCGTGGGTATTGGACCTGCAGAAATACTTCAGTGTCCTCAACGGTAGGTTCGTGTATGGCCATTAATTTATCCCCCATCAGCTGCACTTTTTTTAAAGGGCTTTTAAAGACTGGAAAGGGAAATATTAAAGAAATGGAAACGTGACAGGTGTCTGAGGGGTGTCCCTGCTGACATTTACCGAGCAGAGCTCTGTTAGCGACAGCTGATGGGGTGGGGGGCAGTGAGATGGGGGGATGGGGAGAGGGAGAGAGAAAGAGAGAGATGGAGGGAGGAGAGAGACATGCAGAGAGGGGGGCAGAAAGAGAGATTGAGAGAGATGGAGGGAGGGAGAGGGAGAGAGAGAGAGATGAGGGGGAGAGACAAGGTGAGAGAGAAGGAAAGAGGCACCGGAGAGAGAGAGAGAGAGAGAGAGAGAGAGAGAGAGAGAAGTAGAAGGACCAGTGTGCAGATGCAGGATGTGTGGCTGATTCGCAGTGCATGACACTGGGGGTCTGTACAGCCAGGAGGCGACAGACCCCCCCACCAGCGCCTGAGCAGTGCTTAATTATTAATCAGCCAAACCTCAACATTCCCTGGGGCTACGAACTGTGATCTGTCTGCTCGACACACTGAGCCTCTCCAGTCAGCAGGAGTGGAAAAATAAGCCAGAGAGAGATGAATGGTGAAGTGTCAGCGGGGAGGGGGGCGGAGTGTCAGCGG